ATGAACCGATTGATGTTAGACCACCATTTAAAACTTGGAAGCACTGGACAGCCATTTCGTCTTATTGTGGGACTCAGCAGTGTGCATCCACGACCCCGCTCGCGTGAGTCCAACAATAGGACGAAACGGTTCCCCAGCACTTCCAGGTTTTCAGTGGTGGTTTAACACCAATCGATTCATGATCTCGATCAAAAACTTAATAATCTCTATACTGATAATACTTTTTGTTTAAATAAAACACATGAGGCACCACATTTAAAGCAAATAACAAGCCAAGATAAACAGTGTCATTAAACACTGTTCGACAGATTCTAGAATGAATATGTTATTCATCAAGCGAAAATAAATTTAACGTAAGTAAGAAAGATATTCCGATAGTAAAATATCTAATTGCCAAAACTCCAAGTCTATTAATCTCATACTTGTCAAGATACTCAACAATTATACAACGTGAGCATTAATCATGTCACTGAATCCTACAAACAAAACATATTGAATATTCAGTATATCATTATTCCCCAAGTGATATACTCTCGTGATAAGTGCCAATTCTAAAGTCAAAGGGCGTTATTAATTTAGGTAAGAATTGCATTGAAGCAAAGTAGTTGTAGCTAGCTGAATGGCTACGGCTAAAAGGAAGCTCAGCGATTAAAATTTGTATTTTTCTAAAAACGGAGTAAGATTTAATTCCCTTATATAAAACATTAAACCCTTCTTATCGTAAACTCAAAGTTAATTTACGATAATCTATCACATAATAATGATAAGCAATTTAAGAAAAGGAACCAGAATTTGCCTCATAACTAACCTTTTGCATAGTTGTGAATGTATATCCAATTATGGTTTAGTGTGAATATCTACAACTTATTAGTTTTCACGAATTATATTTCTTGTAACTTACAATCTTCTTATTCCTTTTACAAAACTAACCAACTGAAACATATTCAATGTATATGACTAAATTATATTGATGGATATAATCGACATCCTACTGATATTACACTAGTTAGACTTCAAACGAAATGTAGATTAATCTGATTTATCTTAATTAATAGGCACAAATAGGAAAAGAATAACCATAAAAATGTGATTATTTATTTGAACACATAGATATTGGTACAAGGAGGCACCAAATATATATGCACCACACAAATCTCAGTCGATGTGTGAAGGCTGTGATACTGCCCGGGTGCCCAAACCGAAGCAGGTGGTTTTCTTAGGGGGCCACTCCCCGAGCCTCTGACCTAAGGGTCTGACCCATAAGGCAGTGGAGCATCGTAAGGAGATGCAGTCCCATGGAAGCCAGTGACCAACGATTGGTTCATACGCCACTTGTTCCCTCAGGATACTGGAGCCCATGTGCACCATTGGTTTGCAATTCGGTTAAAGCGCCGGACATTCGCTTTTTGTCCTCTCATTTTCGTAAACAACACCCCCGCCACGAGAAGGCAGTGAGTAGAACTTCCCTGGCAGAGGCTATATACGCGTCGCCATGTGAAAGCGTTTCGAGAGGAAGAGCGGACTCTCCCCACTCTCGGCCGTGCCAGGGCAAGTAAGTGTGATTTCCACATCGGTTTATTAGACTAATCTGATAAATATTTACTCGAATTAAATTCGTATTACGAAGAAACGAAGAATTTACTTCATCATTTAAATGATATTTCAGTAATATCTAGGCAGAGGACAAAAACTGACATGACAAAATAATCAGTTGATGATACATGCTACTTATATCTGTTGACATTAGTAGCATATACCACACTAGTCTCCCTTTTAAAGCAGTCATTCTTGTGGTGATTCTGCTCGTCGTGCTACTTATCTCGTTTCCTACAGTCTGTGGCACGCTCTCCGTCAAAATGTCAAATCTGCAGCGTACACCCAGCAGCCTCATGTCCCACCGTTCCTTTCCGTCGACAGCCAACGCCGACCAGCCGGAACACTCCACTCGACGCCATCTCACGGCACCAGATCACCACAACTAGCACCTCAGCTCCGGGTTCGCAACGGCGTCCAAAGGACCACACCTTTCCCCCTTCCTAATTGGTAGCAGCACCAAATGTGAATGTCCTATAAATGGAATAAATCCATTTAGAAGGCAGATATAACATTCACATAAGAATGTTATTTATACACCAATAGTCTGAATTATTGTACAAACACACATCAATCTTCATTATTAAAAAAACTATATAGAACCGTTTTTCGTAAGTCTTATTAAATTATATTTCTGTTGTACAACATTCTCTTCATGTAAACTTTAGTTTTCACTGTCAAAATTAAAAGGAAAAAAGATTTTCTAAGATATTGTTTCAATAGATGCTTTTTACAAGTCTTATTTTAATTTATGACTACAGATTTTCCATCAAAACATTCTAGCAGAAATCTAGTTTTTGTATATCGGAAGCTCCCTGTAAACGTTTTCCGTACTACATACATATATATACGTTTGAGCATAAATTCTTCACTCACACTCTGTGTACAAAGTTAATATAATTTAATAATCTATTTTTCAAAATGTCTTCTTTAACTGTTTCAATCTACGACATAATTATATCTACAAATGAATATTTAGTTAGCAATTTATTCACAGTTCCCATTAGTTTTCTTAAGATAGCTAAACAAGAGAAACACAGTTGTTATTAAATTTTTAAAGTTATGTATCCATACTCATGTTTCGAAAAATTGATCACTTAATTGTTTGGATCATTTGTTCTTTATGTTATTCATATTCGTACAAATACAGTGTTATGCTACCAATGATTTGTAGTTATAAGGTAAATAATTAATTTTCACAGTTGAATTCATGAGCTGATCTAAGCTAGACCACCATTGAAAACCTGAAACCACTGGACGGCTGCTTTGTCCTGGCATAGAACTTCTCAGTAGTGCACATCCACGATCTCGCATACGGGATTAGAACCTGGGACCTTTGGTCGCCCAGCATGTGAGTACTTAAACTCTAGATCACTGAGCGGTCATCCAAATGTGTTAATGTTTAACTTCAATCGATTCATGATATTTATGGATTTCCTGGAGTTCTAGTGAGAAGCCATGATTAATGGAGTCAAATTCGTATCGGGTGTAAAACAGTTATCTACCTCACACAATGGATGAAGGCTTGTGCGAGATCATGAATTGATTGAAGTTAGACATTAACATAGTTGGATGACCGCTCAATGATCTAGAAGTTAGATGTTGGCGGGCGAGACCAAAGGTCACAGGTTTAAGTCCCATATGCGGGATCGTGAATTAGCACTACTGAGGAGTCCCACACTAGGACGAAACGGTTGTCTAGTGCTTCTAGAAACTTGGAACTTCTCTTTAGCTTTTAACTTGTCCGACTATAATTTCATCTAGCTTATTATTGTTCATTTTAGTCATTTTTCAAAAATGAACAATAAAAGCCTTTATTATTACGGATGCCAGATATCAGTAACACCAGGAAACTCGTAAAAAATAAGTGAATTACACTATGATACACACTATGGTATAAGTTGAATATGTCAATCTTTGATATCATGTATACATTTTTTAAGGCTTCATATATAATTACCGTATCATGTTAATACGAATGAAAAAAATTACTCTGGAATTAATTCTTGCAATGGTTGTTCAGGATTTACCAATGTTTGATAGAACAAAAACTGACGTACATTTATTTTACATTTTTCGTAGGAATGAAAGTCTGAATGCTTTTCTCATGCACTAATTAGAGACGTTTATGAAAAGTGTAAGTTTATGCCTGAAAACAAATTAATTCGTTGTTTATAGGCCAGAAAAATACATATCCAAATTAGTTAGGAATAGAAAACACCAATTTGTTGATTTACACACTAAATATTGAAGAAAAAAAACGATCAGTCACAAAGTACTATAGATTGGATATTATATAGTACAGTAAACATAACTTACTATTACAAATGGAAAGATTTCAAAATAGAATTGACAGATCGATAAACTGATTTCAATTAAATAGTACTTGGTAATTGATCATTTAAAAATTTCGATTCCTCAACTTAATAAAGACAAGAAATTGGAAAATATGAACCTTAAAATTTAAACTGAGAGTATCTCTATATGAACTGAATATCCTAATCTTGAATATGGCTAGGAATGTAGACTAGTGAGAACACACGGAAAAAATTAACAATCCATCCCTCCTTAGTTGCTAAGAATTCTTCAACCAATATCAGTTCATGAAAAGTAATATTAAGCCCACAGATACGATTGAGGTTTCTAATTTGAAAAGTTGTGGAATTTATCTTTCGGAATGACTATAGAAAGTAGTTGACATGATTAGCAGTCAATGATGGAGACCTAGAATAATTCATAGATATTCAAATATTTGAATATAGGATTTCGTTAGGACTATCACAGTTTAATTTCAATTTCGAACTGATTTTCAAAGACATTTCATTGTTCTGTCTTATTCTGTCATACGCGCCACAACTAGACTGGCCAAATGAGGATATTCGTTCGATAAAATGTCAACAAACGTAATTTAATTGTATTATTATTATGTATATTCTTGTCGTATATTTATTACGCAATTAGACTACGATATTTATATATTGCGTTTTTTAAGCTTCTCTTTACATCATTAACCATTATTTTATTGTTTATAAATCCTATTTTGTTGCCGATCGATTATTCACAGCTTACCCAAATTACTTTGATTCACTTATGCATAATTGTTATTTTTCATTTTGTGGTGCGATGCAGTCCAGTATTTTCGTACATAAGCCCATGTATGTTTAAAATGTAGTAATGACAGGAGCTGACGACCGAAGTTTTAGACTCAAGACGTAACAAAAAGAAAAAACAACAGGGGCTTAGTTAAGCTATCTCAAGGTCAACAATGCCGGTAAGGAGTATAATCCACAAAATCTGTGACACTAAACTATGGAAGAAATAGTAGACGAGGAATATATAAAATCCGAATTCTGATTGGTGACTTCAGAACGCGATATCAGTTAACATCTCAAGAAACAACAATGCTTTTGAGTTTGAAGATGTATTCTAAAGTAGCGCTTAGGACATAGAGAAATATAGACTACCAAAGTAAACGAAACTTCACCCAAACTACTATTTTGTTGTCACACTACAGAATTTAAGTTTATTGAGATGATATACATAATATATATGGTTTAAAATGACAGAAATGAAATGAAATTATCTTTGAAATAAACAGATGTTCTTCTTTAGTCTATGAATAGATATGTTACGTATGTCATGATATGTTACTGAACTTGTTTTACTGGACTGCGTATCTTGGGGTGAAAATGTTTTGATTCTATAGTTTCTAAGAAAAAGAGATTTTGTGAAAACAATAATGGCACAAATGAAATCAAGGATTTCTGCAAGTGATAATCGGTATTTTATGCAATCCTCTTTTACACAATTCCTGTATATGAGTTTTGAATTGTTCTACACATTGTTCACAAACAGCTGTTATTAATGGAGTATTAGAAATTGGTGGTATTACTGCAGTGGTTGTAGTAGTTGTTGTATTAGATAAATTTGTATCTGCTTCTCTTTGTGTGGTATCATTATTACCATTATCCCCACCTGTACGCATTTCCATATTTCTAGCAACTGAAAATGGCATTATGCTTGCAGCCACGTCATTATGCACAGTATCATTGGCATTATTATTCTGTAAATGCTGGTCTGCATTATTATTGGTTGACGGTCCTGTTGCATTGTTTACAACGGGACTAAAAGTGATTGTTGAAAACGGACGGCAATGTAATGAACAGTGATTGGAAGGAACACGTTCAGCACGACTTTCCATACGTGAACACGAATGAGTAAAACTCTGTTGAATATCTACAAGACATTTTTCCAAAACTTTTATTCTTCTTCTAAAATAAAACAAATTTATTCACCGGTTAATATATAGGCTTTGATTCGATCAAAAACAAAACAGAAACAAATAAAACGAAGCTGTAGGAACAGTTTTTAACGAGACTTTTGGTAAAATAAACGATTCTATTATGAACTGTTTAAGCGAAAAACCTGACAGGGAACTACTACTTAGAGTTCTGCTTCTCATTCATATGAATCCAGTCACATGGAGATGAACACGATATCATTTCCAACGTATGACCCCCATCTGATGACTTCGGTGATAGCTGTTTTACACCTGCCATAGTTGACTATGACCTTGGAAAACTTGCCTAGACGCTTGTCTCCACCTATAAGAATGTATCTGAAAGTATTCAGTCAGTATCTTATAGCTCAAAATGGGTGTGCATTGGCTAAAGTTGTCACACTATATTACCACAATAAGATCTAATTAACAAGACGAATTGTGAAAGAATTAAAATAGTATAGTAATGATGAGAAAAATCAATCGTTGAGAATGTGGTTTGAAAAAAATATAAAGAAAAGGCAAGTATAAAAGGATACTGAAGATGTAGATCAAGAGTAAGATAAACAGTAAATAAATCTGAGTTATCGCGCGAACTTCAACCAAGTAGTAGTAAGCTTAGATTAACAATCAGTGACTTCACACACACACGTCTTTATCTTTTTTTCGACCTACTTTTGCACTAGCAAACATGGGTATTGGAGGTAGACAATGATGAACTATACGTAGCACATATCCCGACTACCTTAACAACTTTTTGTTATCTTCACCTGATAACCTACGCTTAACCTCAACAATGCTTACTCGATTGTCTGATGATACTCTAACAATGCTCAGAAGAAATCTGTAATTAAAAACTTGCGGTCTACTCAAAATTTCCTCTTTTAAGGACGATGTTTCATAGCCATAGAGTAATACAGCCTGAACTACTGTGTAGTATACTCGTTCTTCGGTTAGCACATGGACATTTTCCTTAAGCCACGAGTGAAACAAGATAGAAACGACCAAAAGAGATGTTTAACTCGACTTGAATAAAGCCAATTCTGAAATTAGTATTAATTTATGATGAAACTCGTCTTAAAGTTGAACAAACCTACATGAAGCACTCGTCTGAAGAATGAAAAGGACACATTTTTTATCATATATAAATTTGCATAGGGAACGAACTTGTCTGCAGTAGTCATATTTTAAACACTATTAAAAATACCATACCTAAACGAAAATCGTCAATTGAATAATTCGTGAATATCAATGTCAAATACTACCGAGCATTGTTTATTTTTTAAAATAATTTGAAACATCTTGTCAGTACACGATAGTAAAATTAATAAGCTCAATAATAGTCGAATAATATAATTAAAGCTTAAATGCAAAAACAATATCAACTAGGCAAGAGACTAATATTAAGATTTTTAAGGAAATTAATGATTAAACAAAAAACTAACAAGTCAATATTTTACAACTTGATATTTAATTACTAAGGTCTAATAATTTGGTTAAGTGTTCATAGATTTATTTTGCCAGGGTTTCAATTGGTTGAATACTCAGACTATACCATAATTAATAATATACAATAAAAGTCGATGAGATCAATCTTTAATGAACCGTCTATAATCTCTTTTTTTCTTTCTTTACAAACAACTTTTTTTTTATATACGATCAATCATTATGATAAAATTGGTTGCATTTTATTTAATGAACTCATCTTATCCTATATTGTGAAGAAAGATAATTCTTCATTCTATTAATTCGTTATATAATAGATAGCATAGATAGTGTTCAAAGTAGTAATTAGACAAACTATGATTAGAAGCGATCAATCATTTCAATGTTGACTTTCACAAAATGATTAGTTTTATATATTTTTATTGTTAACATTGACAAATATCATCTTCATGTTGGACATAAAGCATTTTAAACACGATAAAGATAAACAGATAAACGTAGCAGAAAACTTTCTATTGAATACTACTAACTATTGATTGATGTATTATATACATTTGTGACAAGTATAGATGATCGACTATATCTTTATCGTTAAGATTTAAAATTTATTATAGGAAGAAAAATTTTGATATAACGGATGGTTTCTACTATTTTTTCCCCTTTCTCTGTGGTATACAACGACAAAAAGTTAGTATGATGATAAGACTAGTCACTTTATATCAGATTCAGAATTTATGACCCAGAATAGACAATCAAATTAGCAGTAGCTAATGCTTTATTCAAAACAGCTACAAGCAGTCACACTCAATGAGTCCGGAGTCGAAATCAGTGAGAAGAAAGGAAATCACATATTTATTAATCGAAAGTCTAAATGTATGTTTGTCCACGTTTAATGACCAATCATATTTTACTCTCACTACTACATACCAAATTTATAATCTTCCATATGTACGAGAATACTTTTCGCCGATCATGGTTGTATTTTATTGCTATAAAATCATTATTTATGTAATTTAGTAATCGAACAAACTTTTACATTCATAGCTGTGTTATGCATTTAGTAGGAGGGTTAAAGTGAACAATGGAGTTTGGAACTAGCAGATCAACAGACACCACTTTCCATTCGATTATTAAAATTAACATAAGACGAGATGCGATGAACACAATTTTCACAATAATTGATCAACTAAATAATTGAAATTTTCTACTAAATGTATTACAAGTAGATAAGAATTCCATTTTATTATAGATGTGATATTATGTTTAAGCAACAGTATCACAACAAATTATGAATAATTCAAACTACTTATCACAACACATTGATCCATTTAAACAATTCAACATGATCACTTAAACGACTTTCTTTACAAAATAATCCGATTATACTAACAAAGGTTTAAGCAGATTTCTATTTCGTTAGGTTTCCTTAATATGCTCCTAAAATCAGATAGTTGTTAGAGCGATGACTATAATTCACTAGAAACCTGATATGTGCATTAAAAAGAAACAGTTGTTAACCTTTCTCTATCCTGATAACATAAACTCTGTATCGCTGCATCAGTTTTTCGACTCTACTCAAATTCGTAGATCTATCTACATCTCTTTGGGAAACCGGATAGCATCACTGGCCCTCATGACCAGTGTCGCTTAAAGCCAAGTACGCAAATTCATGTGGTTGGTAATGCAGTGGTAATAATGCTAGGCAGGCCTAAAATCAGTTATCACGAGTGCACTAGGTTTCATCAAAAAAATTGGGAATAATATCATATTGATCAACGTCGTAGAGATCAATCTATAAGTGACCTACAATTAGTTCTAAAAAGTGGAGTCATTAGATAACTACAGAATAAAATAATTTCTTTTTTCTATCTGGAATAGAAGAATGGTAGCATTATATAAGACGGCAAAACTTGGTAACGACTTCTAAGAATCATGAGAAGTTGAGTAAAGTATTTAACTGGAAGTCAATCAGTTTAACATCTTGAGATATCGTGAAAAAATTGTAGAATACATAAACACACGTAAAACCAGTTTAAAGGACAGTAACTCACTCAAGTACTTCATTTTTAAGTTCCATTGACAGATTTATTTCTTCAAATGCTTTAACCATCCGACCATAATCTAAACGAGCACAAGAATCCAAAGCTGCTTGTCGTAATCTACTCAGACCATATAAATCAGCTATTCGAAGAAACAATGGTGCAGTTACATCATTGAGCCGAAATGTAAGTGTCCTCTCAGCCAAGCTAACCATAGAATCGATTTGGTATCGATGTAAAATAGGTAGCAACTTTTCAGCTGTTTCGGCTTGAATATGAAATAAGACAGAAAAACGTAACTACTGGGGAATTATTCTTTTCGTTTTCAGAAAGATAATACATCACAGTTTTTGGATTGGTAACAGATAACAACGAGACAACAAAACAGGTAATTCGAGACTACCATCTATACGAATAATTTTGCAATTATTTTTTTAGGTAATTTACAATCTACTTAAAACACAACTAAGTAGATTGTATAAATCAGTAAAACATTTCACTGGTAGTTCCACGCTTTAACATTGAGATATAAAGAAGTTTCAGTCTATATATATATATATATAGTTTCAAACAAAAACACATTCCAGATAAGAAAAACAACTAATAAAATAAGGGTATGCTGAGTGAACATAGTTATACATATCATCTTAAGCATATGCACGCCACATAGCTTCTGATATTACAGATGGATAAAGATGCAAATCCTAGAAAAGCTAAGATACACGACAATAAATAATAAGATCAAATAATGGTTATTATCAAAACAAATACAAGACTAAACCATTTGTTCAACCACGAAACGGTCATCGAAGGCAAGAGGAGCAAATAATTGTAGTATAAATTAGAAAATAATAATCCTCATGGTTACAGGTAACTAACTGTTAGGTTTGTCTTACATTGTTCCTAATCGTTCCCTTTCTACTCTTTTGTATATTGTCTTATACTACTTATTTACATTCAGTAAGCTGTTGTATTCCCAATACTTTTCACACTTGTGTTGTAACGCAAGTTGTACTGTAATATTCTGAAATGTTCACATATACTTATAACGTTTATAGTACTTATCATTGTATTTATCATTATAATTAATCACTGTAGCCGTTATTCACAGTTTTGTGAATTTGTTTAAACGCAACAGTTTCCATATTGTTTGCTCTTGGTTCGGTTGTTCGTAAACTGTTATCAAATTTAGACACAGCTATCAGCTGTACTATCGTATGTTATAATTATTCTTTATGTTACTGTTACAGGAAGCCTTTTCATTTTCATACTTGAAGGACGCGTTTAAACGCCCCAAACACCTCACAAATTGAGGTTTGTAACTAAATTTTGTTTATTATTCAATAAAGAACCACTATTGTAGACAAATCGTTGTTTTGGAAACTTCGGTTTTGTGCGTATCTCAATCAAGTGACTTGGACGCTTCGATAGATCTAACACCAACTAAAAGAGACAAACATGGAAACTTACAGAATAACCAATGATGCCAAAGTGATGTATCTGTCTAGAATTCGTAAGAAATTCACACACATGTTATAAGTAGCCACTACAAACGACATTTATGGACAACCGTGGCTAAATACTCAAATGTATTGTTTTCATGCAACAGTAATTTATCAGCAACACACAAATCTATTTGTACTCGATACATAAACAGTCTAAGAACCTCCATGTAGAATTCAGCACCACTGTTTGCCCCCTAGTGAGAAAAACCTAATGGGGAATACCACGAATGCTAGAAAAATTAAGTCTACGTATTTATTGGACAGAGTATGTATATCATAAATGTAATCAATAAAATGAGACGTCAAACTAAAATGAAATTTCATACGTGTCATATCACAACCACCAGGTGTGTACATGTGACGCAACATTTCCCTTATGTCATCAAACTCGTCAACTGGAATAACAACTTCATTTTTTTGATTTTCCTAAAAAAAAGTACAACTAATGAGAAGTAGAAACAACAATGTAAACAACAAATATTAGGTCTTTAAAAGCATTTAAAGGAAAAATAGCCCAAAAATTAACTGAACATAAAACTCAAAGTTCAAGCTTTATTTTAATATTACCCATGAGGTTAGAAATAATATGTAAATATACTAATCAAGGTCATCCTATTTTGTGTTTTCAGGGAGGTACGAAGTAATATTTATTTATTTATCACCGAAATCGGTGTTTCAAAACTGGGACAACAAATGAATTAAGTCGATGTGCTAGGACACACGATGCCGAACCTCTGTAGTACTGTCATGATGTTGCCACAGGATAACAGAAATCCTTCGGAGACGACGTTGATAAAACACAGAGGGTTGCTTAATAACCTCAACTCGGAGAGGTCAGGTTTCACAAGCATAGACCAATGCTACTCTTACCGACCCATTATAGACCTTTAACAGCTAGAACAGTATCACGAAGGTGCAAAAGATAGCCCATATTGACATAAGCCGCTCCTGTCTTTACTATACGTGGATTAATCTCATCAATCACATCATCATCAGCACTTACGCAGCTATCCAGATACACGAGCTTCTCGAGGGATTCTATCCACTCACTTCCAAGAGTGAGTGTAGGTTCAGGATCCTGCCAGTCTTGCAAAAGTGCTTTACACTTGGATACAAGGCAAATGCTACACTGCAAAGTCGTGCAAGGATGACAGACGCATCCCAAGTGAGGACCGGAGTCATACAAGGCTGTTTACTCTCCCCCTTCCTTTTTCTTCTGATGGTTGATTGGGTTATGAAGACCGCCATATCTTAGGGGAAGTGCGGAATACAATGGATAGCTTGAATCCGACTAGACGATTCGGAGTTCGCTTCTATTCCATACACATCAACAAATGCAGATGAAAACAACCAATGTTGTAGCAGCCTCTATAGGCCTCAACATACACAAGGGAAAGAGCAAGATACTCAAATACAATATGTAGAACACCAACTCAATCACACTTGATGGAGAAGCTCTGGAAAAGTTGGAAACTCACATATCTAGGAAAAATCATCGACGAATAAGGAGGATCTGATGAAAACGTAAAGGTAAGGGCAGCACTTTTACATTTGGAAAACATAAGGAACTCAAAATCATTGTCAACCTACATCAAAGTCAGAATATTCAATACCAACGTCAAACCAGTTCTACTGTATGGAGCTGAAACTTGGAGAACTACTACAACTATCATCGAAAAAGTGCAAGTATCTATAAACAAATGTCTACGTAAGATACTGAATGTCCATTGGTCGCACACCATCAACTACAACATACTGTCGGTAAAAACAAACCAATTTTTAGATGAAGAGAAAATTAAAAGACGTTAAGAGCGGATGGGAAACATTACGGAAATCACTAAATTGCATCGCGAGGCAAGTGTTAACTTGGAATCCTGAAGGGAAATTGAAAAGAGGAGTACCGAAGAATATACTGCGTCAGGAATTGGAAGCAGACACCAAAAGGATGAATAGCAACTCGAATGGATCGCCCAGAACAAAGCTAAATGGAGAATGCTGGTGGGTGGCATATCTTCTTCCACGAGTGGTAACAGCTGTAAGTAAGGCATATGACATACCTATGGACACAGACTGACATCTAATTAAGTATTGGAAGGCTTGAGTATCATCGTACATTAAGACAATATCATCATCACCATAATCTTTCTTTAGGCATCCGCTCAACACTACCATTACTTCAATCCGGCAGAGCTATTTCCAGAACGCCATCGATAGCAAAGTTGGGGATGAACGGTGAGTTGGGAAACCGTGCCTAATTCCACTGTTTGAGTGAAGCAATAGAGGAAGTTGTATGACCTCATTCTGTGTGAGGTATCTGTATATAGAGCTTTCAAGATGTGAATAAACTTCTCAGGAACGCCTATTTTCAACAGACGATTCCAGAAAACAGTCCTGTCTAACGAATTGAAGGCGATCCTGACGTCGAGAAATACAATGATTGATGGCTTGCAATAAATATGGTGGTGTCGCAATCGGAAGTAAACTTATCCCCTCGATAGTTGTTGTAGAAACGATATGGACCGTTTTTAAAGATACGAACAACTATCGATTCATCCAACGAACACTCTAACCGCCAGACGCTCATAAACAACGTCAGTTCCATAACCAGAAAGTCGTCACCATCTTCATAACGAGCCGGAAATAAGTCATCTGGGCCTGGTGGTTTGAGGCATTTTAAGAGCTGGGTGTCCTTGCTGCCTTCCGCCTCGTCAGGTGGATCAGTTATCACCTACCATGAAGGACAGGAAAGTCTGAACGATGTCACCGGGAAAGTAGACTATTCAGACTGTTTTTCGAAAATGTATCCACCGTCCAAGATTACAGTAGATGTGAGTGATTGGGATCCCATTGGCTTCACAGACTGCTTCACTAGCTTTGAAACTAGATCGGTTTGATATTCAGTTACAACAAAAGCTAAAACCAATTTGCTGACATCGACCCAATCATGGCAATGAATTCGCTGGTCACTGAAACCTGAGATAACACTAGAGCAAGCAAGGGGATGATCAGGGTTTAGGTTGTTGCAAGAGTCCTGTTCAAGTCCCTGGAAATCCAGAAACGCCAGGAAACCTTTTATCCAATCAGCGTTGAATAGAATCTTCGTAGAATTACCGGAAATTTTTATATTTGTAGTGATTAAAGATTTCTAGCAACTCGAAAGTGTTTATCATTGGAAAGTAATCTTAGTTAAACTCTAAAAGATAAATTTTTATGAACAGATGAGTATTCTGTGTCATAGCTCATGATTAATGTACACTTGAGAATCCTTTTATTTACGAGGTTAGGATAATTTGACTTCACCATAAAAGGATCAACGTTTGTTCCTCCGACATTATTTAAAATTCTAACAATGGTTAGTATACCCTTCAACAAGGATCAGCTTGAACACTTGAACACTAATTACCGTATTTTTTTAATGTTCAGTTAAAAGAGTGGTTACAGTATTTATCACTTGAGCACCTAAAAATGAAACTCAATGAATAACAACGATTTACAAATTAATCTAGGGGTTTGTGGAGATTGTAGAATATAATAGTTTACATTACGGACTGCTTTCAGTTGAGTAACTATCACTGACAACTAAGAAGTTTCTCACACGGACAAAACAGCTATTCGGTGCTTCCATGTTTTCTATGGTTATCTAACTAAAATCAGCCCTCGATGTGAAATGCGAAATTCGCGATTTCTTCACTATATTCTGTCAACATCATACCAATATATGACAAAAAAACCACACGAAGTAGTTAAAAATCAAATAGTGATTCATTGAAAAATATCAGTCTCTAATGAAAAAAGGATTTTCATCAATAGTTATTATATAACAGACTAAAGAAAATAGGTGGACAATAAATAAAACTGTTTTCCCTCGTCTTAATTTATAGATTTATTAGATAACCTGGTTAACGATTAAAGAGTAACTATTTGGCAAAGATACAACATTTTGTGTGGATTTTTAACCAATAAAGATTTATGTTTGATTAATTTATCAACTAAATAAATTATTCAATAAAAGTATTCAAATCACATGGCGCGATGAATCAGAATCTGAAATATACAGGTTATATATATATAATGACGTCTAATTAACGAAATGCAGTGTATTCTCTTAGTCATACGTCTTTAAAGTCAAAATACACTTTTATAAGAAAATTTATTAAATCAGTTACATAGGTTCAGGGTGGCATAACTTTTCTGACCAAAAAAAGCCTAAGAAGAATTACAAAAATAACACTTTGACTACTATGACTGGGTATAATGCACTGTACACTGTACTATAGTACCATAGTGAAGATTAGAAAACGAAAGCCATTTAATAAAATAGATTGAATATTTCTTAGAGAAGAAAGATTAAATTCTGTCTAGATTGGTTTCATTCAATAAAGAAGTTTTCTAAACTCTTTTAACTATATGTAATAGCAATTATTTGTTTTTCTTTCGTTTAAATTTTCATACTATTTGGTTGAAAATGAATACAACTGTGCACTAGTACGACAACTTATCATTGATTACTTTTAGACAATTTAACTAATGTCAAGCAGGCAGAAGAAAAACACACTTAATGATTTCTAGATTATATATAAAGTACAACTGAAAGTATTTAATGTACAACAATTTGACTAGATGCTTTATTTAGCTAACCAATAAATATTCAGACAGAAAATGAAATGTCAACTATTCAAGATGGGAACCTTTTGCAGTGGAGACAACCATGACTGTCAAACCATTTGACTAAAATAATTTTCCCTACAGAATTTCATATAAATCACTATAAAAGAAATATCAATAAAAGTAAAAGGACACTTTTTCCCACAAGTTGTATTTTTTTAACTATTGAATTAACCAAATTATTATTGTCAAACATGGATGATTTTTTAATGTGACTTATTGATTTTTCGCTGTAAATTTACAGAATTTCCATGACAGATCTCCCCAGTAAATTATGATCGAATGATGGGAATAGATTTTTTGATATGATCCTGTTAATGATTAGGTGGTAAAGCGCTAGGAGTGAAGATTAGTAAACTTGAACCGATTGCACTACATATACACTAATTTCCTATATCTTACATAATTTTAAACAAAAGTAATAATCACTTACAATGCATCGATTTTGAAACATAGCTTTGAATACTGGTGAATAGATGGATAGAATAGCACGATGACAATGAAGATTTCTACCTTGAACAATTAGAACAGCATCACTGAATAGAAATGGACTGCTAAAGTCTAACACATCATGTTCATCTTTCTGCGGTTCATTATCATCAACGTCACAACTAAAACAAAATAAAACAAATTACAATCAGTTATGTTTCTACCTATACATTCAACGTAAATTAAGCTTTAACCTTTGATAAAATATTATCTGGATGTTCTGAAGAAAAAATTGCCCAAAACTTCGATTATACCTTGAATATTTTTGAAATAAGATAACATACAGTTTAAACCTAATACATTCATGAGTTATATATTTTTATTACGAAGTAAGAAGCAATAAAATGTGTAGTTGGTGTACAAAGGCAAATTGTAGACATGATTGGGATGTTTATGGAGTTCGCAATTTAATTTTTATCATGGATTCTGAACTAGGAAGCATTGGATAATGGTTTCGCTCAATAGAAGACGATATAAATTCTCACAAGTTATAAGAAAAAATATTTGAATTACAATACAGTTCGATAGAGGTCGCTGAACTTTTTGTTGTTACATGGCAAACTGACCTTATTTAGACAATCATCTAAAACAATACACTTTGACAGCTTCACAGAACAATGAAAAGTGACAAGTCCATGGACTGAAACAGTATGCTATCTTGTGAAATCTTTTAGAAAACTACTTCTTGAGTTCTGTTGTTCTATAACGACGCCCATCAACATGCTAACCTTATGTTTGCTAAACAATATTCCGAGATTATTGTGAACTAGTAAAAGCAGCCGTAAACATTCTCCGCTACGTTTTACGAACAACTCATCACGAAATCCAATAAAAAACAGGTTCGCAAGTCACTTAGTGTAATTTGGAAATAACTGAAAAAGTGAGGAAGTTTATAACTTGCCTGATAATAAAACTATGTCAATCGGAACAATCATCAATATACCTAGTAAACTCAGTATGCAAGCATGGACCAAGGTGCAGTTCCATATATTCGGTTTTACATTAGGTTGTGCCTTTCGCGTGACGGCTAGTGTGATGCTATTGATCTAACTAAAATAATACAGGCTGGGCGTGTTAAACTTGTAGCCCGATAGTTGAAAGTCACATGGTTTAACCACTAAGCCAAGTACATTTTATCCTCAGGAATATGAAATACAGAATAGTTATCAATATAACATTCTCAATTTTTCAAACACAAAGCGTACAACGTAAGTTGTGCAAACTCAACACACTTTCCAAAGAGTAAATATTTATTAAATACTCATATTTTTTTACATATGAATAGCTCAACAATATCTTTAGTTGCACGTAATTTGCATCCATCAATGTTGAAGTTTAAATAATCTCATAGAAAGACAGATTTCTTATTGTATCAGATGACAAGTATCTCGAAGATCATATTCAATCAAATTTTAACTAATTTACTTTCATTTTACCAGTATAAATTAAAACACACAACATGTTCAGAAACTATATACGTTATTTATCAGGTGTACAACACATATTACCGATACTGAGTTAATGACAGTTTCGATGCTTCATTAAACAAAATAATAATTGTAATCTAATAGATCAAAAAAAGCTATTTGATTATTATTTCTGTTAAAAGCATCGATCGTTCTTCACATCAACAAGTTTTTAATGAATCAATATACATCCAATTATGTTTTAACTTAGTGACAACTGTGATATTCATAACAAAGGTAAAAATGAGGTCAGATTGGATAAAAAGAGAACTGCTTTATACATACTAATGTTTTTTAAACATTGCATGCTTATTTAGTGTATAAAATCATAACTTCAATTACTAGATAAACCAACAGTTCAAGTTGAGTATTTGGTAAATGAGCATATAAAAAACGCTTCCAGCATGAATGGATGATTATTTTAAGTTGTATACCGTTTTCATTTACAGCCAGTAACTTTTCTAAGAAAGTAAATAACTAGGATTGAAGTTATTGGCTGGGTTTATTCATTTGCCTGTAATAAGCACTAAGAGGACCAGACTAAAGCTGAAGACCTTGAAGATAAAAACATTCGTTCTGCTAAGGTTTTACAAATTCCTGATGGATAAGGATATTACTGCCATCCATGAAGTAGAATAAACTTACACTAGCAACCAGTGAGACGCATCCCTTATCAAATACGCCGATGCACTGACAAAGAAGGTCGGATATTTATTTATTATTTATTTATTTGAACACATATATTGGCACAGGAGTGCGCCAAATATATAAACGCCACACAAAACAATGAGAATTTAAGAAGAAAAAAAAGTGGGGAACGTACAAAAAAACAATAACGAAGAGATTGGTGTAAGGTAGTATAATAATAATAGTAATAGTAGGGGAACAGAAGGGTACAATCAGAAGAAATCTTTCAGTTAAAGAAGATATAACCACGTTTTATGAAGAAAGTAAAAAAAGGTTACAGCAGGATCGCCACTGGCTTCTATTCTGAGCCATATCTGGTAACGTCTCTAGCCACTGTGTTGTACCATCTCTCGGACCCCAACCAGGGAGTCGTGAAGGACCGACAAAAGCCAGACATTGCAGCTTTCTTTCACACCACGACACCATGTCGTATACTGACCACCTCTCCGCTTTTTCCAACCAGTCCGAGTCGGCAAATAATGAACGGCGTGGAATTCCCTGGGACGACATTCGTAGAACATGTAAAAGCCACCGAAGTCGGTGTTCCAAGATGGTGACACCAATTGCATTATCGTCTCTGTGCCCGAACACACGATGCAAAACCTCTGCATTACTGACATGGTGTTGCCATTGAATGTCAGCAATCCTTCGGAGACAGCGATGATCGAACACAGAGAGTCGTCTAACGTCCTCAACTCGGAGAGACCAGGTTTCACAAGCATAGAGCAAAACTGCTCTCACCGACGCGTTTTAAATCCAACCTTTTACGGCCAGACTAACAATTCACTTTTTATGCTCTTTTAAGCCTTAAGATGCAATCTTCCTTTACACGTAACTTCTCATCCTCTCCTCCGGATTCATATTCTTAATATTTATTGTTTTTCAATAGTCAGTCAGTTACAACGTGGGACCAGGCACATTTATGCATCGGTCCAAGTTGCCATACCTCATTAACACAACAAGATGGACACCGGATTCATAAAAGTAGTTAATTCAGAGGTGGTAATATATAAAAGAAAGATTGCAATAAGAATATAGTACAGGAAGAAAGAATTAGTTCGTAGGAAGACATATATAAAGCCATTTTAATCTCTTAGTTTAAGGGAAGACAGAGAGTGTATACACCGACGCCATTGTGATCGATTCTGAGCCATGTCACCAAGAGTCTTCAACCATTGGTTACGGTAGTCACGCGGACCCCAACCAAGTAGTCTGCATCTACCAACATGGCTCAGACTAGAAGTTAGTGACTTCAAGCACTGATTCCACGTTGTGAATTTCGCCGCCCCTAACTTTCTTCCAACCATCCCCTACACCGGTTAGCATTGCACGTCGTGGTAATCAGTGTTCAGGCATACGTAACACGTAGTCCAACCATCTCAGTAGATGAAGATTCACAATCTCATCAACTGATTCACAATCATTCCCTAATATCCTGCGTCTAACCTCACTATTATTTACCCGGTGATCCCAGCAGATGCCAGCAATATTTCTAAGGCATCTGTGGTCAAATACTAGTAGCTCACGAGTGTCTTCTACTCTTAATGGCCATGTTTCGCAGTAGTAAATTAAAACAGAACAAACTACCGCGCAGTATACTCGTCCTTTTATTGATAGACGGATATCTCGCCTTCGCCATAGGTGACGTAAGTTGGCAAAAGCCAAACGAGCTTTCCGAATCCGTGCTGAGATTTCGTCAGACACCGACCCATTAGGGCTGATCAGACTTCCAAGATAAGTGAAGTTGTCAACGCGTTCGACTGCTTCACTCCCTATCCTTAGTTCAGGTGTTGACGCAGACCAGTCCTGAAGCAACAACTTGCATTTAGAGGGAGAGAAGCGCATTCAAATTTAATCTCACTGTAAAGATTTGACGTGGTGACTCGGGTGAAGCACATCTGTGTGACGCCGTAATTTTCATTACTGTACAGATTTCTAGATAAAATTTAGAAGCAATGCAGCTTATGTGTTGTACAATACTAAGTGGTAGAGATAGCTTAGAAAAGTTAATTAAGACTGTCATACACACAGTATCTTCACGGATTAAAGTTGCAGCGGAAACATCTCTAACAGTACACATAACTCGGGAATAACTATGACACAAAGTTCGAAGCCAGGCTAAAATGACGAGACTTAGTATGTTTAGATATTTAGCTATAGCGGTTAGTAACAAACTGACAAAAAGTGCTCCTCAGATCAGCACAATATAATAAGACCAAACACTGACGATTGAATGCACTAATCAGTCCACAGACTTGCAACACTTTGATCAAATTATTAAATGTCTAGCTTTGCTTATTGCCGGATGGGTAATTTTCCGAACTGCATATAAATTTTCACAAATCAAAATCTAAATATTTAACAACTTCTAGAAATTTCCATTTGAAACAGATTTAATTAAGTCGCCACAAACAGGCAAACATTTTGGATATATATTCAAAATTTTTAATATTAATTAGAGCGAATCTAAAGTTTATTTTCAGTCTCAGAACTCAATATGCAACAGAAATGAACTATCTGACAGTTTGCGGAGCTTTAAACCAGAATTGAGAGAAACTACAACTTACTCGGCTTGTATGGCGATTTCACTCACATTGGGAGCAGTGCAGCTCAATCTCTCGATTTGCGCTGCCCGAAAGACCGACATTCGTGTATTAAGAAGAATTTTATTCTTGGCGGCTTACAAAAATCCGCCAGGACAGTACGGGCCAATAGAAAAACTGAAATTGAGGTCATTATAAAATTCTGTATATATTTTATATTCAATTTATTTTAATATATAATCCAGAAAAGCCCTTCTAAATGGTTTTTCCGTTTGTTTGAATACATCATTTATGTTAGCTGAGTAACTAGGACAATTACAAATATCATCTAGTTCATATTGTAGGTATAATTTTTATCTGTTGATCAAATTTGATAAATTCTAAATTTCTTGAAATGGAAGTGGTTCCTCGATATGAATATGAGGTTATTATTCCACCGGAAGGTGGTTACGTTTCTCTTGAATCAAATGTATACAATCTAAATAATATTCATAAACCAATTACTGACGATCACTATGGTGTATTTTTCATTGATCCAACTACAAACAATACAGTTAATTCACACGCGCGTTTTAGAGGTGAAAGTATCAGTGAAACACCAGACACAACGAGAAAAACCGACCATAAATCTCTACATCAACACGCAGATATTTGTAATATCACTTCTATCACACTGCCCGCACCTTTGCAATACTTAGAGCCTACTCAACAATGCAGCACAAGCTTTCATCACCATTGTCTTCCTCTTCAATTAAAATACTTCCATTCTCTAAGGAACTTTACAATACTAAGCCAAATTGGCGTTGGGCAATTTAGTAGTGTCTATCGTGCTGAGTGCAATCAACCTTTTGGTCTTAATGTAGCCCTTAAAGTTATCAAGGTATGTAAACTGCCACGGGCGTTGATATTGCATAGTGGTTAATTATCACTCTTTTCAAGGAAATGCGCTTTTGGATAGTTGTTATCATTGTAGCACATAATTTTCTGTTTCATGCTTTGTATGCATTGACTAAATGTGGTAACCTTCGTTAACTGGTTTGGTGTATATTTGACTAAGCTTGCGATTAGGACTTCAACTTTGAGTTCATCGAAATATTTCTTATTTCTATCTCTGTCATAATCTTATAAACAGGATTTGCTTACGCTATCATTTATCTTTGATAATCATACTTTTTTGAAATATTTTGATATGCAGGTGAAGTTTCTGTAAAACAAAGTTAGCTATATGCATAAAAGCTCTATATCTCGAATACGTAGTGCACCAACTCAAAGACATAGTGGAGTAAATCTTGATGGATTATCAGCATACTCTACTTTGTCCAACTACGAAGTGCAAGGGTCTATTGGACAAGGCCAGTTTTCAACCGTATGGCAAGCTTTTCACACTCCGTCTCGTCAGACAGTTGCTATGAAAAAAATTAAGGTTAATCCAGTTTTCTGTGACTGTCGTCCACATTTGTTGTCCACCAAACAGATGTTGTGTATGTCGATTTAGATTTGATTATTTGCATGCAAACCAAATACTGTATTACTTCGCATTTAAATGTCAAAAATTAGGCAATTATAATTTGGTTTATTCCTAACCCCAGTTATCATAGGTTTTGCATCTTTTACTGACCTTGTCTTCCGTAAAACTCATAAGTGTTTGAGCGATTTGTATGGTCTGTCACATAAAACTAAACTTTAAAACAAAGAAATATCAATAAGAAGAGTGAAATTTATCAACTCCTATATGTAGAATAAAATAGGTGTTTATCCAGCTCTTCAGTGCATATACACATATACTGGTATTTTTGTTTGCTTATGACGCATATATACTTGTATTAAGAGAATCAACGAGATTTCGTGAGGTTTTTATAGTTTAACCTGACGTAAAACAAATGTATTCCGTCCATGTATGCTTACAGAAAAACTCACTACGTTCATCTTTGTGCTAGTTTGTTAATCCTCTATCGATCTTTAGTTTCAAACTTTTAGAGGGCAGTATTGTGCTCATCACTCAAAACGTTCGTTCGGTTGTAAATCTTACATTTAACTAACAAATATTGGATGCTAAGTTCCCTTTACTGAGTCACTTATAAAACTAACTATATAAACAATATGATTATCTTGCCACATCATTTCAAATTTGAGGACAGCCAATAGCTACTGTAAGGTGAATAAATCTGGTATCACTTTCACGATCAAAATTTGAACTTTATGTACTCTATTGTTTTGCCAGAATGTTGAGTGTCTCACATATGACGAAATTCACGAGCCAGTTCCAAAAATACCATAGTAGCTACAAGTGAACCAGAGCTTGAAGATGGGAAAAAATCATAAACGCACTTGAGTATATTGTATTAGGGTTATGAATGAAGCAATAATTGTGAAAAACATCGTTGTTTCATACACCACATTGATTTCAACAAATAAACGAATGCACAGGATATTTGCGGAATAGTGGATTGTGGCTAGAACTAAGAGAAAGAAATCCCAACATCCTAAATTGGGTTGAAACAGCTTGCTGAACTTGTAAAACATTTAATCGCTGGTATTATTCAAATATAACTTTTACGCTCAATGTAACCGATATCCTCGATGCTCAACCTCCGTCAAAATATATATTTACGGTCTGACGAATATGGTGACCATCAGAATACTAAGGATTACTTAGTGAACGCTGTGTATATTAAGATTAAAATCGGATCCAGTAATTAAGTTGAATGTTTTCTATTTTTCACAAATTTTGGAGACTTCACTACTATATATACCTCTGTTCCTTGCTTGTTAACTGTGAAAGATGAGTTACATTCATGGCATTTATTTGGTCGATGGTAAAAAATTTTCTCGTCATGTTACTGCGCTTAGAAACTTAGATCGATACATTTAAGTGTCAGTTTCAATGTTGTAATAGAACTAAATGAAAACACAAATTCAAAATTTAGAATGTTTAGCGAACCTAAAGTAAATACATTTATGCTTTATTTCGGTACTGCGATAAGACTTTTTAGAAGCTCGAAACCCTACTATACAATGTTAACATCCTTATATAACGACGGCTTACAAGCGTTTCCTGTAAATTCGACATCCATTTAATGGTAACTGAGCATATATATTATGCTGCTCTGTAAAAATGTTAATCTCTCAATAAAGCATTACACATGGCTGAAAGTTTATCTCCTCTTTAACGCAGATGAATAGCTATTTGATCTTCTTCATAAACTTGACAATGCTGAAAAAAATGACAAACAAGTTACTCCTTCACTTTTTCTATAAACACTGAATAATATTTGCTTTTTCAGAAAGAGTGGGAACAGGAAATTGGGCAGAACAGCATAAATTCATTTTATTTCGTTAGATTTTCATCGGATGCTTTCATTCTATCATACTGTTGAATCAGAATTATCACAAAGTTGACATACTTATAACAAGGAAATTAGACAAATGTGGGCATCTATCATCATGATGAATTGGCGATCCGGATAAATGTGATGAGATTGAAGAAGTATAAAGAGTGTTGTAAATAAATATAATATGTGAGAGAAGATTCTGGAATATCAGCTACAGTAACAAGAGATTCAGTTGAACTAAACATAGGTTTGTTGTCTACTGTTATTTTCCTAAGCATATTTCCTCTAGTTTTCATATATTTCTTGATAAGTTTCTGCAAATATTCGTTGTTCGTCGAACATTCCTTTGTCGTTCGTCAGGTCTGCTTCTAGTGTATCAGTGGTACATCTTTGTTCTACTCCATCGAATAACATTTTAACAAGTGACTTTTGGTAACTATTATGAAAAAGTATTAAATCGCAAATAAACCCCATTCTATGTATTTTTTCGATAATCTGCCCGTCCGATTGTTCCATTCACCCTGTATTGTATAGCGACATCGAGAAAATGGGACTTATCAACCCATTCATGTTCCATTATAAACCGGTTATTTTTATGAGAATCGTTGGATAAGTTTAGAATGTGTTTTGCTTGTTATTGATCATTACATACAATGAAAGTGTCATTGACATACTGCAAATTATACGCCATATCATCAATCGGTGAACATGAATGCATATATTAAAACAAGACCAAGTGGACTTGCGATTATTACACTGTAAACTTGACGGCATATGTTGTTGTCGATTCGAAAGTGAACCTCTTACATGCACATAATAAACATTTATTTAGGTTTGGACACTAATAAAGGTAGAAGTTTAGGTTGCTAGCAAATTATGACGGTGGTTTCAAAAAGTAGTATTTCGGTAAGCAAGAATGTTACATCAAGAAAAACTATTGACTTACCAGCATTGTTTATATACTTAACACAGTCAATAAACTAAAGATGGGTTTTCAGTGTATAAGTAATTAACTGTTTAATCCCAACTTAGGTTGCTCCTAGTTAATATCAATTTGTGCTCATTTACTTCATTATAAGGTCACTTGATATTTTTAACTGTGTGATCTTTTGTTACTGTAGCTGATATTCCAGAATCTTCTCTCACATATTATATTTATTTACAACACTCTTTATACTTCTTCAATCTCATCACATTTATCCGGATCGCCAATTCATCATGATGATAGATGTCCACATTTGTCTAATTTACTTGTTATAAGTATGTCAACTTTGTGATAATTCTGATTCAACAGTATGATAGAATGAAAGCATCCGATGAAAATCTAACGAAATAAAATGAATTTATGCTGTTCTGCCCAATTTTCTGTTCTTTCTCTTTTCAAACTCGTCAAGAAATTAAGTGTATGATTTTAGTTTTCCCCTGAATTCAAACACAGGTTTTATTCTTGTACTTTCGAAGATTTTAATAAGTTCCTACTGTTCCTAGTTTTTTTGGTAAAATAAACACGCATAAATTTAAACCAAGAATTTTCGTTAATTAACTTATTTTGTTTAAACAGCGTATGTTTTAGTGGATTAAACAGGGAATCGATAGCGAAACTACCTTCATCTATATGGTTGTAAGGTCTTATATATGATTACCGAAATTTCGGAGATAAACCTTGATTGTATGTCCAATATCTGACTGCGTATTGTCGATGTTACACTAATAATTTAGTTTGCTTTTATCAGTATGAAATCATTATCTAGATAAAGACAGTGTTACTTCTGTTTAAGTTTTGAAAGTTTTTGTTCTGAAAATATGATATAGCCTCAATACCTAATGGCTAC